CACTTTGAGGGGCCAAGGTGGGAGGATCTCTTGAGTCCAGGAGTTTGAGACAAGCCTGGACAATATAGCAAGACCCCATCTCTACTTTGTATTATATAATATTTAAATATAAAAATAATAAAATTATGGTTGTTATTTGGTGACCTGTATCCTTTGTCTAGATGAGCGACCAGAGCAGGTACACCAGGCCTGTCTTTTTGACCCTGGGCCCGAATGGTGACTTTTAGCCTTGCTGCATTTCACCCAGGCAAAGTAGGTCCTGCTGCCAGGCTTTTGCCCACATCAGTCCCTCTCTATCAACATTCATTCAGCCAACTTATATCGAGTGCCTAATACGTGTGAGGCACTGGGATACACTGACGAATACACCACGATCTGCTTGAGCACTCAGACCTGAGTGGGGAAAGAGTCCATCCACAGACAACTGTAAAGCAAGGTGGACCTTGTGCTCAGAAAGCTGTGCCTACTGAGGGGGTTGGGGGTCAGGGAAGGTTTCCTGGGGGAGGGCCACCTGTGCTGTGTTTCGTGGGGTAGGTGGGAGTCAGCCAGCTGAAGAGAAGTGGGAGAGGGAAGGCATTCCAGGCAGTGGGAACAGCTTGAGCAAAGACACAGAAGCAAGGCACAGCTTGGTGTGGGCCGGAATTCTAAGTCCTCTAGTGTTGTTGGAGCTTAAAATTCAGTGGTAGGAGAGGAAGCTGGAGAGGTGGGCAGGAGGCTCTGCTTCAGGGCAGCACTTAGAATTCCTGAGGACATCCAGGCCCACTGCCTGGTTCATTTTCCCTACCTCTTGCCTTCTTTTTTCCTGGTTTAGGAAAGGTACAAAATTCTTGTGTGCAGCCTCTTTTGGACTCCAGCTCTTGTTCTCTTGCTGAATCCCACCCCCACCCATTCAAGTCATAGGCTGTGATTCACCTGTGGGCTTCTGAAGGCTAGAAGCTTCCACAGTGAGCCAGGAAACAAGTTCTGATTGGCTGGAAACAGACCCCTGCTCCAAGATTCGGGGCTGGCAGTATTCCTTCTGTTCTGGTGGCTCAGTCCTCATGACTTTCCTCTGGACTTGCAAGTTATTCCAACAAACCCCAGCTGCTCTGCAGTGAAATGTTCCAAATAATTAATATTTCTGCAGGAATTACCTTGTAAAAGATATGTGCTTTTAAGCATTTGGTAGTGCAAATGTTTTTGACTGCCTTTTGTGGCCAATTTTCTCCTTCAGCGGGACTCATGTATAATTTTAGATAAAAGTACAAGGAAATTATATTTCCATAATCATAAGTCTTCTTTCAGCAATACACGTATCTTCAGAGAATCCCAGTCTCCCTGCAGCATCCTCCTGGTGCACAGACAAAAACTGCTGAATTCTGGCAAGATACTCAAAGGATTCTGACAGGTGACCATCTCAGGCCAGAGATATGCCCAACCAACTGGAGAAGCAGAGACAGCCATGGACAGATCTGCTGATGCTGAAGTATATAGACAGCTGAGGTACAACCCGTATAATCACCCAGATGTTATTAGGCCATGATCATTCTGTAGTTAGCTACCTCCCTTCTGTGTTTCCTCTCACCTGAGAACCTATTGTGGCCACTTCCAAGGCCCCACTGTGTCCAAATCACACCACCACCAAAGCTCACAGAAACACGCTGGTAGATTTCTCCTCTTTGGTGGTTTCCCATGACCAGCCAAGCGAAATACCCAACAGTCATTCTCAGTGCGCACAGATTTACCTTCAGTTTTTTTGGTTATATTGTCATTATTATGACAAAGAACATATTATTATTATATGTTCTTTGCCAAGTGGGAGAGTTAAGGGGCCTGCTATGGACTGAACTCTGTCCCCCTCAAATTCATATGTTGAAGCCCCAACCTTCAATGTTACTATATTTGGAAACGGTCCCTTTATGGAGGTAAAGTTAAATGAGATCAGAAGAGTGGGGCCCTTGTTCGACAGAATTGGTGTCCTTACAAGAAAAGGAAGAGGCTGAGTGCAGTGGCTCACACCTATAATCCCAGCACTTTGGGAAGCTGAGGCGGGAGGTACGCTTGGGCCCAGGAGTTCAAGACCAGCTTGAGCAATGTAACAAGACTCTATCTCTACAGAAAAGAATTAAAAATTAACCAGGTGTGATGGCATGTGCTTGTGGTACCAGCTACTCAGGAGGCTGAGAAAAAAAAAAAAAAAGCCATCTGCAAGGCAGGAAGACAGCCTTCAACAACAACGAAATCAGTCAGCAACTTGGTTTGGACTACTCGGTCTCTAGAACTGAGAGAAAATAAATTAAAATAAATTTCTGTAGAATTAAACCACCCAGTCTATGATGTTTCATTACAGCAGCCAAAGCAGATGAATACAGGGCCATTCATTCATTCCCCACTTATTGAGCCTCTTCATTTTTTTTTTCTTTTTGAGACGGAGTCTCACTCTGTTGCCCAGGCTGGAGTGCAGTGGCCGGATCTCAGCTCACTGCAAGCTCCGCCTCCCGGGTTCACGTCATTCTCCTGCCTCAGCCTCCCGAGTAGCTGGGACTACAGGGGCCCACCACCTCGCCCGGCTAGTTTTTTGTATTTTTTTAGTAGAGATGGGGTTTCACCGTGTTAGCCAGGATGGTCTCGATCTCCTGACCTCGTGGTCCGCCTGTCTTGGCCTCCCAAAGTGCTAGGATTACAGGCGTGAGCCACTGCGCCCGGCCTTATTGAGCATCTTCTATGAGGCATTCTGATGGTTAATTTTAGGTGTCAACTTCACTGGGCTGAGGGATGCTCAGATGACTGGTAAAACATTATTTCTGGGTGTGTCTGCAGGTATTTCTGGGAGAGATGAGCATTTAATCAGTAGACTGAGTAAAGATCTGTCCTCACTAATGAGGTTAGGCATCATCCAATTCATAGGGAGCCTAAATAAAACAAAAAGTTGGTGAAAAAGTGAATTTGCTCTCTTGTCTGGAGCTCAGACATTCATCTTCTCCTGCCCTTGGACAATGGAGCTCCTGGTTCTTGGGACTTATACCAGGCCCAAGAGATGAGAAGCCCTATCCTTCCCCACCGTCTTTATATCCCCAAACTCCTGGCCAGTGTGCAGCAGTGTGGCATGGATGACTCTATTCCCTGCTTTAACAATCGAGTTTACTGCAGAGGTGTAAAATATTCATGCTGAGAAAGGCCTGGGAAGCTTCAGCGAATGCTTCCCAGGGGTCTAGCTGTGCCAGAGGCTTGAAGTCAGGGAGAAAATGAACTGCCTCCTCCTCCTTCTGTGAAGCGATGCTGGGAGAAGGACATAGTTCTCAAGAGAACATGCTCTGAGCAGTGGTTCCCAAAGGAGCGTTTAGGAAAAAGCCAAGTTGGGACCCTGGGGAGGGACTGTGTGGCCCCTACTAGAGGGGTCTTCCAAGGCCACATTTCTATGATGACCTGGAGAATCCAGGAGATCAGTGGGAAGGGAGCTGCCTCCAGAGGGATTCACCTGCCACCTGAACCAGAGGGAGGCAAAGATGAAGCAGTGGGGAGGCCCTTCCTGGCTGGTAAATCCTCCTGGGTCAGGCACTTGTAGGAGCAGCCCTGTGGCATGGAATTGAGCTCATTACTTTTACAACATGCCAAGGACAGGGCCGGGTGTTGGAGATACAACCAAGAATAAAATGCAGCACCTGTTCCCCACAGTTAAGTGAAAAGCACAGACCCGAACAGACAAAATACAACTTGACTTAGTAGTGGAAGAGCACGCTGCACCAAACTGGTTGTCCAGCAAGAGAGGACTGAATTAATAACCTGTGATCTATCTATACAGAGGAATACCAGAAACTGTTGAAAAAAATAAGGCATTGCTTATTTTATGATTTGAAATGATGCACAAGAAATACGAAGTAGAAAAGCAATGGAAGCTTCCAGATAGCTGAATTCCTAGAGGGTGGCAAGCCAGAGAGGGTGAAGAAAGAAGCTCTGTGCTTCTTCCCTCATACACACCCTATACATTTCTTCATCTAAAACTTTAAGGACAAAGCAAAAAAACTGCCTGACTTCTTGGTTGACAATTTGGGCTGGATACTGGTTTCTTCTTATAATAATTATTGCTTTATAAATTCAGGTATATAAGGCCGGGCGCAGTGGTTCACACCCGTAA